ATATATTTTAAATTTATAGCAGGCATCCTGTGTCTTTAATAATGGATACATTTTCTAGTTTGGTACCAATGTTTTGTAATTAAATCCTGACAATTTGTATTTTAATAAAACTACCGGAAACATGGATGTAGAATATTAAATCCCTGAGTTACTGTAAAAATAAACTGCAATATTAAATACATCTAATTTAATGCCACCCTTCCAATTCTTGGTATCTGTACTGGTTTAAAATCTGCAAATTAACTTAATTCAGCTTATCTATCCTTTAAATTTTTTTTTGTATTGTAACTTTCAAATTATTTTAGTTAGCACATATTTTTTCAATAGAAAAATCTTACTTTTCTACTTAATTGATTTCTATAATCTGTAAATTTGGCTGCAGACCACTGGACCACCATCTTAAAGGCATGGCCTTGGCCTTTAAAGCCCTCGTTGTCAAGGTAAGATTTTACTTCATTCTAAAATAGATGGACAAGATGATATATATGAATGACTTTTAAACATTTATAACTATGAAAAAAAACAAAATACACATAGCCAGGTAAACTAAATTTGCGACAGTAAAACTACCGATGTACGTCCTCAAAGCTTCAAATACAATACAGTTATCTCTTAAATATGATTTTTCGAGGGTGAGCAAATCTTCCAAAGCCAAGGGAAATGAATGTTTTATTCCACTCACAGCCTATGCTTTGTTTACTACCTGAACATAAAATACTAGTTTGCATACATTTCTTTTTCTTATCCGTTTGTTCTTATAACTTAAAACATGACATACACATTGATAAACAGAACGGATCAAAAGTAAATTATTAGCCTTTTTGTTTTAACGTCTGAAATAAATTTGAACACGATAATGATTTTTGCTATTGCTACAAAAAAGAAGTTCAAAACGTTATTTACATTAACCGCGCGTAACGTCACACGATGTAGTCCCGACATTTCAGAGGGGAATATGATATACTCAGAGGGGAATATGAAGATTTGCTCAATGACACGTGGGATAGTCTCAACCAATCAAATATTGATTTAACTATCAATATGTATAGACATGATGCGTGAGTGAGTGGAATAAAACCACTTATCCCCTGTAAAGCTAGCCAATCAAATTGCATGATTAGACTAGATATTTCTTTCCCATACAATGTATATCTATATATATACTCAATCTGTCAGTTAAGGATCTTTCTATTTAAGACAGATTTGCCCAAAAAAAAATCAACCGTTTACTCTACATCTTAGAACTTACTTTGAAACCTATGTCTGAGGTGGTATTCAACCATGGGTTGACACTAAACTTCTCCCGAAGGTAAGTATTAAGTTTTTTTCTGGAAATAAACAAAATTGATTTCATGATTGAAGAACTTTTTTATATTTAAAGGGAACAAGAGGATGAAAGGTACCAAATAACAAGTATTTAGCCCTTTGAGGACACCCATGAAGTACTTAATTTATGTTTCAAACAATTGCAGAATTAGACATAATATAATTGATTCCAGACTATATAAATGGTCATTCAAAACTCATTAACCTGTAAACAAAACCGAGCCAATGTTGCAGACTACAACAATACTTTTTAAAAGTGGAGGTATAATTAAAATCATAACACAACACTTAAATTATTAAATTCAGTTAATTAAGCTATATATATCACAATCATCTGGCATTTCAAGTAAATTCTGTCCTTTTTGATTCAAAATATTCTATCAGAACATTTAACCTCTTCAATGTTAAGAATGGTTGCAATTAAAATCTTAACTCATGATGAAAAACAAATTGAAAATAAAACTATAGGCTCTCAGGAGCCTGTGTCGCTCACATGACTGTTACTTTGGTTTTGGAAATCATTTAAGAAATGACTGTAATATTTTTTCTGTCTATGAAGAAATAACATTAAAAATGTGGTGCACACTGAATAACCCGCGTAGCGGGTTATTTTAAAGTGTGCACCACATTTTTTTATGTTATTTAGAATAGACAGAAAAAATATTACAGTCATTTCTTATAATTTAATTCTAAATTCCATTTTTAACCTGAGTAAACCATGAAAAAACGTTGATGACGTCACGGTCACACCTGACAAAATTATTTATTTGAGCTGATAAACAAAACAACGTCAGCAAATCATAAGACGCGTTACATCCAAAATTAAATTATGTAAAAATAGATAAAAATCATAACTGATACCCAAATAATGATTGAGGCCAAATTTGGTTTACTATTGGCCCCGTAATTTTTGGGCCAGGTGAGCTAAAAAAAGATATATATATTCAGCCAAACTTATTTCGAACTGCAAAAAAATTACCTTAAATGAGCATTCCTCCATTAAGAAGCTCTGCCTGCCTCTTCAGGTACAACACAACAGCTGATAGTTCTTGCAAACCTTTTTAAGAATTAACGAATTAAGACTAAAATAATGAAATCTGTTTCAAAATCTTCAAACAAATAATCAGGACGAAAAAAGAATGTATTCAAGATGTACCAGTGTAATGTTAAGTAGTGATAGATGAACGCGTATCAAACAAAATATATCCGAATATGAAGGACAATATTAAACTGTATATCAAGTGTTGTCCTTCATTTTATGATCAATGGGCCGATACAACTAATTGGCGACTATTAGTCCCTTAGGGTATCTTCCTCGCTGTAGTTTGGCTTTGGAATTTGTATCAATGGGCCGATACAACTGATGGGTGACTATTATTCATCATCCACGCACGATCTTGTCTCAGAAAAAAACAACATATCTCTGTAAATTAACCTCACTTTCAGGTATAGAGATGTGATTTTTTTTCTGAGACAAGTGCTTGTGACGATCCACAAGAACTTGCGGTCATCCGATGTTCAGTACTTTGATTATTTTTTTAATATCCCATTTTTTTTTATATATATCTGTTCCAATGGCTGCAACGTAAAAAAATATTAGAGAATATCATTTCCTAGAAATGAAAAACAAACTCGTAATTTCCTTACCCAGGAATTATGTTATGCGTTATTAAAAATCTTCCTCAAATAATTTGAAAACGAAACAGCTCAAAAGAATTATTCTGTTAATGTAAACAAGGAAAATTTCGTGGCAGTTTTATTTTCGCGGTAAGAAGTGAAACGCGAAAATTTCAAGGAAACTATTCATAAGATAAAGACCATACATGTACGTATATGACAGGATATGTAGAGGACAACTGTATACATGTAACACCGATTTTACAGACGACAGATTTATACCTCAAATCATAACTGTATTTCTAAATGAAAAGCAATGTTAGAAATCATGACTGTAACTCAAGTTAATCTTATTTAAATGGAAGACATCTCAAACAAGCGATAAACAAACTTCTCAGATCAAAAGATCGATTAATTAGCATTAATACTGGCAGCATTTTATTATAATTCACTCTTAATTAGGTCTTTTTGGTAAAGTGTATGTGTTTTTAAAAGAAATTATGACACAAATTTTAATCTCTTAACATTAATGAACCGAAAACAAGATTTCTGATTGATTTAATCACTTGATTTACGATACCTGTAAAGCTGTTCACCTTCTAAATCATTTATGATTGATTGATTGATTGATTGTTGGTTGCTTAACGTCCAGTGGCAAATATTTCATGCATATTCAGGACGAGAACAAATTAACAATAAATACAATAGGTAGGTTCTGTAATAGAGGCGTCTGGGACTGAGGTCGGAGAAATTTAGACTGCCACGGGAAATGAGGGTATATTGGATAGGGACAGAAATTTAGCCTTGCAACAGGTCACCTACGGACCCCTCAACGAGTTGTTGCAAGGGTTCTTAACGTGCAAAGAGCGTGGCACTCTCTTTACACGAGGCATCGGATTTAACGTCCCCATTCTGACCGGACGTGACTGCGAACTTATACATCCCGCACAGCCAAACGGACGCCCCACTTTAGCGAGGGTTTTACCGCCGGTCGGAGGAAGACCAATGATGACCATATTTCTATTCCCCAGTCACCCTTGGGGGTAAATCATTTATGAAAATATTTATATAGGTCACAGGAAAATCGCGAATTCAAAACGGCCCGAATTTAGATTGTGTTAATGAATCGCGAAATAAAGACGGCGCGACAATTTCCCGGTTTACAGTACTACTTTGATAAGGCTGAATTTTGATTTCAGAAGATAGAACCTTCAATGTCGTATAACCTGTTCAACTAGGATGCGTAAAGAACTCACGGATAGTGGGGACAAGACTGATGTCAGGATAGTTATGGGAAAATTTCATTTCAGTGTCACATTTAATTAAAACTTTTTGTATAATAGGTTTCTGCAATTAAATTATCTTCGATTACGTCTTCAAAGTATAAACGTACGTACTGTCAAATAAAAGTTATTGTGTGTTCAATTGTCACTGGTTAGCATACGTCACTGTGAACTTGTTCACCGCGCACATTCAAACAGACGAATGTAGGACACAAAAGTCACAGGACAAAAAAAAGTCGCGGACAAAAAGTCACAATTTAGTTTTGAGATTTTTTTTCCTTGAAAAAGAAAACACTAATTTTTAAAATAAAATTTTGTTATTTTCTTGAACTATTTTTATATGAAGCATCTCTGTTATTAAAATTTATTCAATGAATATCAATGATGATCAAATAATTGTTATGAAAACAAAATGTCAAAGTGGCTTGGTACTTAAATGGCTTCATTGTGCCAAGAAATTTATCAAGGCTTATGAACTATTTCCTAAACTAAAAAAAATGAATATATGTTATAAAAACACAATATTTCAAGATCTTTCTCTTATATATTCAAACAATTGTCAACAAATTATTTGTGACTTTTTGTCCTGTGACTTACTGTCCGTTTACCAAACAGACTCTGTCATGTTACCACAACATTTTATTAATATACTTATTTTTGATAATTCAAATTTCCCGCATTTTAGCACGTGCTTTTACTGTTTGAAACACGTGTTATTTCTTATCAGTTTCATTTAGATTCCCACATGACATTGTGAAGAAAGATGGTGTTTCGCTTTCGATATTTTCGATTTTCGTGCAATCTTTGGTAAACTACAGTGTGAGTTAATTTTTATATTATTTTATTTTATAACTTTAAGTAAATATTTCATATTTTTGATTAGTTTAAGCAATTAATTATCTACGTTTTCTTTGTTTGAACTGCCGATTAACGCGCACACAGGTCATGTTTGTTTACATCAGCATTTTGTATGTTTTGCATTATGTACACCGTTTATTTTAGAATAATTAATTATTTTAGCGTTAAAGTTAAAATATTATTCTTGCAATTGTATTTTTCTTATTAAATTTAAGCTAATTAACTTTTTAGTAGTACAGAGTTACTAGCGGGTAAAAAATCTATGGAACGCCGTTAGTGCCATCTTTACACCTGTATTTCTATTTTTATAATTTTTTACTTTATGGAATGCAATTAATGCCAAAGTTGTTTTACGTTAATTTTGCTATTTACTTCATGTTTGTTTATGTTTTGAACTTATAATTATTCATAGGAATTTTAATACTTAAAAATAAATGTATGGAGGTCAATGAGTGTCATTTTGACAATGTTCATTTTCTTGTAATTTTCGGTAAATTACGGCATTTGAGTTTATGATTTTTATTTTTCTCTTTGTAGCTTTTTACTATATGTATTATGTGATTATCTGCAACGATGAAGCATATTAATAAAGAATTTGAAACTAACGTAGTTTGAAGACTTTAAGACTCCCCACGTTTGAAAGGATTTAACTGCTGGTCGGAAGAAATACACCTGTGGCAAATCAAATAAGAATTTGAAATCTAACCACAAATATGGTTTGTTTGAAACATGATTGTATGGTTTAAGGGTTCGAGTGATTGAGTGTTAGCTGCCGAATGTTCTATAATGGATTGATTGATTGTTGGTTGCTTAACGTCCAGTGGCAAATATTTCATGCATATTCAGGACGATTCTATAATGGAAGTTGTCTGGGATCAACGTCGGGGAATTTTCGTCTATCACTACAAAATGTGGGTAGAATGGATGCGGTCATAAATTTTGCCTTGCAAAAGACCAACAGCAGACCCCTCAAACAGTTGTTACAAAAGGTTCATAGAGTGCAGAGCGCGTAACATCGGGTGTACCATCCAAATCCTTGGGTAATACAAACGACAAAATTATTTTACATATCAAAACTTGAGAATTTTTGTGGGATTCATTGTAAGAAAAATTTACTTATACAAGTGAATTTTTGAGCAAATTAAGGGGAGATTATTCAAACATTACAATTAACTTATATGTGACTATTTTTTTTTACTTCTTCAAGTAAATAAAAAATACTTGTACAAGTAGTACCCCTGACTGACATTGTAAGCATAATATACATGTATGCTTCTCTTAATGGATTAAATAGACATGCATCAGATTTTATAACGTCATCTGCATAAACTGAAAAAACACATGTCCTTGTTCTCCTAGTACAACTTGTTTGTAAGTAAAATGTTATAAGAAAGATGCAATAATAACAACTCATTATCATTTAAATATTTATTTATCATGTTTATAATAAAAATAAGTGTCCATGCATGCACATATTTCACTATTAATGAAAAACAACCATTTATCAGCTCTGACTATTAACTAAGTAAGACCTATTGCAAATTTACTAACTTTTAGATAAAACATTAACCTCACAAAAGTGAATACAATTTTCACATATTATGGTGTATAAAATTTCATGAAAAGAAGAAATAAAACATTTGAACTTATATAAGTTATAACAATCTGAATGTCTAACAGGTGAACGTGATATTATACCAGCAAATAAAAAAAATACATGTACATGTATGTACCCCGGTCGAATAAAACATGTAAATGTTTAATAAATAATTCAATTTTAATTCCAACAATTCATAATATATTAAGTACCTAGGCTTATAAATATTTATATGTTATATATGTACAAAGTATATACATGTAAACATTATATGATACAGATTTTAGTGGACTTATTTAATGCCTAACAAAGTCTATCAGCCTTTTGTCCATTTCTTCATCTGATGTGTCCCAGTCTTCAGTAGTAAGGTCTTGATTAGTAGATGCTAAATGTGCTAAAGGAATGACACTAGTTGGTGAGCTAATTGGTGATGCGTTGAAGCTCTCCTCTATAGTTGTGATGTTTAGGGTCTCTTCTACTGTGGTGGTCTCTTCAAAAGAATCTTGCTCATTTGGATATGGAGATTCTGGCCTTGGGGACAAAGACACCAAGTCTTCTGTAGTTTCAATACTTGGTGGTGAACCAATAGGTACATTAAGTTGTAATCTGGAAAAAAGAGAATTATGAATACAGAGAAAACTGCTGCATTGTGTTTCTTCTTTTGTCTTATGAATGTAGAATTAAGAATAAACTATTGCAAAACTTAATGTTGTTATTTAGGTCTATTCAATTTAACCAACTTTTTGGTTTTCTCTGGTTAAGTTACTGGACTAACTGTCATGTTTATTGAGTCAGTATTACACAGTTTTAGTAATAGTATGCTAATATAGATTTGCTTAAAAAATGTAAAACTTGACCATGTTGACCATGTTTACAAAATTGTCCAAATTAGTAACAGTACTACCTGTGATATACAGTACTCGGATCATAAAAACAAAGCCTATTCGTCATTATTACCCGTATTGCTTAATTAATACACAAGGTATTTTACAGAAAATAGTTTATTTGATTTAAAGGGAAATCAGTATTGCACTTAAGTGGTAAAATCCTGTTAGTTTCAGCTGGACACTAAATTAAATTCTCAATCTAACTTAAAATTTAAAATTTTTATAAAGTAAGTTAACTATTTTCAAAAAAATTAAAATATTCTTAATTTTTCTTAAAATTTTGAATCAAGGGCTTCAAGGAGTTTACTTCATCCAAGTCCCTACAATTACAAGTTTTAACTTTATCTAAAGTTCTTGGTTGCAAGACCCATGTACACAGAAAGTGGATAGTACTTACTTTTGATCCTTGCGGTCTTTCAGTAGTCCTTTAACAGTTTTGCCTTGACTGCCTGCTTTGTCTCTGAAAATATAGAAGTTCATAAAATTAATATTGTTCAATAGAAAAAATGACTAGCTACAGATGCCAATGGGAAAAATAACCAGATAACTTGACAATTTGTTAAAGCTAGTAAAATCTGTACAGTTGGACACCTATAAAAATAATATTTAGAAAAGTTACTGAAATAAAATTATATAAGTAATATTTAAAAAAAGCCTTGTTTGCAACATTACTGGTACATGTATAGGTAATTTTAAAAGATACTTGTTTGAGTGAAGCCCCTTACTGATAAAATCTGTGAAATTGGCTGAGTTGGAATCTTGTCACTTTTGATTTTTTTTTACTATAAACAATAATGTACTAAATACTTAAATATTAAATAGTTTTAACAAAATTGCTTAAAGCAGTGAGTTGATTGAGGTCAAAAAACAAGTTTGGAAGGTAATTTTTGTTTTTTTTATGCCTACTTCAGTTGCAAGTACTGCCTTTTGTTTCTTCTTCTTGTGGATATGGCAGTTGCTAGTTTCTTTGTTGATCTTGGAGTCTTTTTTAATTCTGGAAACATATCTTGAATCAGGTTGACTCCAATGTTTGTTGAACAGCTGGCAACCTCTCGAATACTTCTCTGAAAAAGTAAACAAATATGTTTATCAATATTAATTTAACTGTTGACTTGTTTTTATAAAATATGCCTGTTTATAATACTTCCATGGTACAATGTACATTTTGTAATTCATATTTTTTCAATAACACATATCATATGCCATTGCAGAGTTAAGGATATTTGTTTATTCATATTTTTTTTTCAGGTGGTCTCAATTGTGATAGGGCTAATAGAAGACACCAGGCAAAAATGATAAACGTTATGAACACTGCATGGAAAAACGAGAAGCCCACAATAAACTTCACTACCAGACCATATAAAAAACCTAGACTTAATGAACCATTGTATGATGGAAGTAAAACCACAATCCTACAATCAGTGTTGCGCCATTTTGTGACTTTGTGCTCGAACAATGGAATGTCAAAGTCTGCAGTGAGCATGTGTTTGTCAAATGAAAAAAAAGTACTTCCTCAACCAAACAAGCTACCTAAAAGTTACAAAGAAGCACATGACATGGTGAAACACCTTTTGATACCAACAACAACCTATCATTGTTGTGTCAATGACTGTCAGATATTTAGACTTCAACATTCAGATGATATAAAGTGTGCTGTTTGTGATGAGGATAGGTACTTGACCAACTCCCAGAATCCAAGAAAGACGTTTACCTATATGCCCTTAGGTCCTAGACTAGCAAGATGGTATGGCACAGACAATGTCTGTAAACTTCTGTATTCCAAACAGGAGGTTGCAAATGGAAAACTAGGGGATTTTACAGATGGATCCATATATCAATCTTGGTATGAAGAAGGGGGCGTCTTTGAAAACATGGAAGAATCATTAACCGTTCCATTAGCTTTATTTACAGATGGACTTAACCCGAATAAAAGTATGGCTACCCAAAAGTCCATGTGGCCACTTATTTTGACATGGTTAAATTTGCCTGTAAATGTTAGACAAATTCTTGGCCCAATGATGCTTGTTGGTATTATTCCAGGAACCAAAACAGAAGAACCAAAACATCTTGATCCTTATTTAGAATTAATTGTGGATGAACTATTGACATTATCCGAATCTAAACTTTTTAACACCTACAAAGGAGCACCCTGCAAAGTTAAAGTGGCACTATTACAATATCAGTGTGATATACCAGCATTTGGCAAGCTGTTACATGTGTCAAGTCAGGCAGCATTAAGAGGATGCCCATACTGTAGAGAAACTGGGGAATACTGTAAAAACCTGCACAAAGTCGTCCACTTAAACAACAGATCATTTTTACCTACCAACCATCATCTACGATCAGATACCACAAACTATGCATCAAAGAGGGAAGAATCTTCAACTACTCAGCACATGTATACCAACGAAGAAGAGTATGACGTAAGGAAGCAATATGATGATCTACCAAACAAAAATCAGAAAAACAATATGCAAAAAAGAACTGGTTTGAAAGGTACATACAGCTTCATGAAACTACCATATCATAAGAGATCAGAACAGATGCAACCAGATGGAATGCACACAATTGCTGATGTCATTGGTAATGTTTTGGACACTGTTACTGGAAAAGATGATTCAAAGAAAGTAAGGCTATGTGAACAAGAGTTCGATCGTTTTAAAGACACTTGGGTGAAAGAAAATACAGATGTGACAGAAGAGTTAACAGACGATTCCAGCAATGAAGTAGTGGGTCAGAAAAGGAAATCAGTTACTCAGATAAATGTGCAGCAGAAAAAGAAAAAGAGTAATGATGTTGAACAATGTGTATTACCACCTGCTCCTTGGAGGTTAGATCGTACAGCTCTAGCAGTTGCAGATAAGAGAGCCAAAAGTTTGCAATACCCACCAGGTTTTGACTACCACCCAGACAAACATTTCTCGAAGCCATGGACACTCAGAACTATGCATGGGAAGCTTCAGGTATGTTTAAATAAAATAGAATGTGTGGTTCCAGTTACATAAATTACGATTATGGTAAGCCCTTTTTATAGCTTTTTATTAACTAAATAGAATTTACAGCTGGAATGATTACTAGCTTCTTTACAAAAGCAAAAGCTTCTATTTTATTTATGAAAAGATACTACCTAAACCTATGTGTTTAAAATTTTGGTAAAACTAGAAAATCACAATTTGTCACTTAACTTTGAATTTGCTACTAACATGACTTTTCTAAGTCATGTTAGTGATTTATAAAACACTTATTTCAGTAAGTCCCCTGACTGTTAATGAAAAATTAAAATACTAATCTTAAGGGAGGCTATTATCATTATGAAGACTAAAAAATAGGAAAGGTACATTGTATGCATGGTAACTGGAATTACACATATATTTTTATTTGGCCTGAGAAATTTGTTTTTATATGGTTTACACACACTAACTGTTTCACCATTTTTAAATTTATTATTGCAATTTACTTGACTATGAATACATTTAAAAAATTTTAAAGATGGTTTAATGAGAGTCAATGAGACAAATATATATATCATCATGATCATACTGGTACTCTAGAACTTGACTCCGTGAGATAGTTGTAAATATATTGTATTCTACAAAAGTTGCAGAAATTATGTCAATCTCCTAATCCATCATTTCAACAAAGAATCCACATGTCATCTTTCATATATAGTCATTTATATTATAATAAATAAATTTGGTGTATTTACTGTCTTCTGATTGGTTAAAAGTATTAGTTTTATTTTCAATGTTGTCCATTTTTATGGGGACACGCCCACTCTGACATTGTGTATTCATACGCCAACATGTGTGTACGTTGTTATTGTTAATATAAATAATATAAAAAATTCTTTGAGCCTTATTTTTGATAGAAATTTATAATTACATCGCGGATTATTCAATGTGAAGAGTCAAAAATTGATTTTATGGTTCAATAAATTCAAAATAAATAATAGCCATTCATTAAATGTATTTCTTTCAGTTTGTCACGAGCAATGCTGCTGCTTGGTGTTTGCATGGTTTGTTAGGACCAGAACAAGAGCGTACATTGCTGAAGTTGTTTGAAGTATTGAAAAAGCTTACAAAAGAAGAATACAAAGTTGCTGATTTAGAACAGTTACAGGAAGAAACCCACGAAGCTCTTGCTTTGATTGAAAGAGATTTCCCTTTATCCTTACAAGTAAGTTTGCTTTGTCCTGCTATATACATGATACATAAAAAAAAAGAAATAAGAATTTGCTTTTGACCATTCTCAATTTTATTATATAACTCATGCACAATGCATATTTCCACAAAACACGGGTCAAGTTTGAATTTTGGTGGCGTTAATTCAATTGTTCCAGAGTTATGCCCCTTTGCAAGTTAAAAAATTGCAGAATTTTAGTAATCGTTCCCTAACTATGGTTTGCCTCAACCAAACATATGAATCTTATTACAATACTTATTACCATAAAATTTGATTCAAGGACAAATTCAGGTAGGGTCACTATTACCTTTCTTCAGTTATGTCCCCTTATAACTTAATACGATATATATGCAAGCAGGGACATCATATCTGACCCATGGACACATTCTCCATGTATTATACCCCCGCTTTAAAATAAGTGGGGGTATACTGTTTTACCTCTTTCTGTCCATCCATCAGTCAATCTGTCCGTCCCATTTATATTTCTGTCACATCTTTCTTAGGAATTTCATTACAAGGATTTCTGAAATTTGGTTTCAAAGTTTATACAAGTCAGCTAAGCTATACTGTGTGATTTGTATTCAGATTCATTACTGATCATATTTTATATTTACTGAATACTTGCATGACATTCAAGTTAAATTTTCGTCACATTTTTCTCAAGAACTACATTACAAGGATTTCTGAAATTTGGATTCAGGGATTTTATAAGTTTTATCATTTTCAACAGTTCATACAGAATGCAACATGAACTTGTGTTAACAATACCTTGGGTAAGAGAAAAGATTAACTTAAATCTACAAGTACAAGTGTACCATTATTCTTTATAGTACAATGTATGTTGCTTTATTTAAAAGGATATTGATTATGATTCATATATTTATTCCTGCAAATATATAATAATTGTTTATTCAATATTCCTTTATATTTTTTTTAATAGACAATAACCATGCATCTTCTACATCATATTCCGGAGGGATTTCCTAGATATGGACCATTATATGGGAGGTGGCTTTTTCCTTATGAGAGGGTTAACTGTTGGATTACAAGACAAGTACTCAACAAACACAGAATTGAATCTACCGTCATGGAAACATATGCAGTAAGTACTCAATCATGACAATATACAGGATTTTTTATTCTACAAATAATTTTTATTGAAATTTTATTTCTGTTCTCATGAATAGTAATTTTTTGTCTGTCTTTAAGATATACAATGAAAACAAAACTATTTAAAGAACTGTGGTAAAAAACTTTTAGGAATTTTTGGTCCTCAATGCTCTTCAACTTCATACTCTATTTGGCCTTTTAAACATTTTTTGATTCGAGCTTCACTGATGAGTCTTTTGTAGACGAAACGCGCGTCTCAAGTAATTATAAAATTTTAATCCTGGTATGTAATATTGATATTTTTTTTTCAATTATTTTTTTTATATATATTTGAGTGTATATACATAGTTGTAGACACAATATATATATATATATCTTGTCAACTCAAATTTTGTATTCTTAATATGCCAGAAAAGGTAAAGTTAAAATCATCTCAATAAGTATACGAATCAAAAAGATAAGCTGTTTTTATGTTAAATTAAAAAATGAATTTGAAAATACTTTTTATATTAACTAATCCAAAATTTTACTAAAAATGGTAAACCTATTAAAACTGTTAAATGTATACTACATTTTAAAAACATGTAAACATTGAAAACTGTAAAGAGACTGTTTTGTATTTTAAATCACATTCGAACACTAATTTTCTAATGTATTACATTGTATATCAGTTGTTGAAACTTAATTACCAGATGTTAATTGAATATTTTTTTTTAATTTTCAGATATATGACTGGTGTGTATTTATGCTCATGTCAGACATTGTTGATACGGATGATTTAACACTTGGTAAATTTGAAGATATTTGCAATTTGAATGAGCCCAAAAAGGAAACCACGAAGAAGACCCCAAAATTATTAGAGGAAAAGATTCTAGATGATATGTCTGAGGTTTAAGACTTTGCATTAACTTCAAGAATGAACAAACAAGGGTTAGCTTTGAAGAGTGTAGAGAAAAAAGTAAATGGAAAAACCAGTCGAGTTTCCAGCAATAAACAGTCACCATCACATGTTTACCTTGTCAGGAATTTAAAAGACCACCATCCCTGTGTGAGGGAAGAAGATGATATGGTCTTTGGTCGTGTGAAATTGATTTTCGAACATGATTTGCGTGGTAAAATGTACACTTGGGTACTTCTTGATTTGTTCAGTGATGTTGCATATACAGATGGGTTTTGGAACGTTTCAGAACGAGTGAGTTGTTGTAAGCCCTTCCTCCTAGATGATATCAGTGAACTACAAGTTATAGAAAGAGACAATGATAGATTGGTTTTCATTGGTGTTTATGTGAAATTAATGTTGTAATGTTTTGTAGACTTGAGAAATGAGAAAAGAATCAAATTTAGATATTTTTGTTAAATCATTGCAATTAATTGATTTCTAGACTCAGCAGATACAATTTGGTCTGTTTATAATTATATGTCCATCATCATGACCATAATCTAGAGATTGGTTATCTGTCACTTATCTTGTTTTTAGCTTGGTCATGTAAATTAACATCAAAGGAGGTAAAACAACAATGTGCAAACAGAAATCTTAACATTTAGGTCCACAATGGTGGTATACTCCAATCATGCATTGACTTAGACAAATAATGATACAAGGTACATTGACTATATGTACATGGTCAATGTTTTAGATATGAAAAGATCGTCTTTAAATTATGTCAATTATGTTTGCTGGCGTGACCAATATGCTGGAAAGAGCTTTTCTCATTTTCCATTAATTGTCATTATTTTTTATGGAAAACTTTGTCATTTTATCAACTATTCATGACCAGGATTTTTCTAAATAATGGCTGACAAACCCACCCTATGGTTAAACTTAGGGCTATGAGAAAATAACTGACTAAAATAGATTAACACTCAATCCAAAAATGATTTCATTCTCTTGTAAAAAAGTTTAAAGGAAAAAACATTTTTTGAATTTGAATACTATTTACAGTATGACAAACATTTGGAAATGTCAACTTTCTTATTTTTATTTTTATTCATCACCTTTTAATTTTGGACTAAAAACATGTAAAATAAAAAAAAAATCTTTTTGACTCATTTATCTGTATGCCATGTATGTGTTTCTGTACAACTGAATTTGTATATTTTGTCTAATATTACTAAATGTATAAACTTGTATAGGTTACACCAACTTATGTTATTAAATTTCATACTCAGTTAATATTATTTAATTGAATTGTAATAAAAATGCAAATCATGTATGAGGGTCTTAGTGAGCTTTACAGAATAGATAATACAGAAATTTTTTCAAAATATATAAAGTAAAGAGAATAAGACGGTGTGCAAGCATAAAGTACCTGTGGAAAAAATAATATGGGTATACAAGACTGATTACAGACATGAACAATTTAAAGATTTATTTCATTACAGAAAGAAAATTTGTAATAGTAAAAACATTTTATCAAATTAATACAGATAAGCCATTATGTTTTATTTGTATATGCTCTATAGAAATAATCAGTAAAGTAATTAAGGACTCAATTAAATGTAAATCTTAAATATATTTATGTATATAGTTTTAAAATTATGTAAAATATTGAAATATTATAACTTGTTAAATAGTCTCTCATAATTCTCAGAATGGTACTTTTGTATATATTAGTATTTAAGTATATGAAATTTTGCTCTTCTGATATGCTTTGTTTTACATGTATATATATATGTGTTTTATTTTATATTGCAAGTCAGGAGCCTGTAATTCAGTTGTTGTCGTTTGTTAATGTGATACATATTTGTTTTTCGTTCATTTTTTTATATAAATAAGGACGTTAGTTTTCTCGTTTGAATTGTCATTCCGGGCCTTTTATAGCTGACTATGCGGTATGGGCTTTGCTCGTCGTTGAAGGTCGTACGGTGACCTATAGTTGTTAATTTCTGTGTCATTTTGGTCTCTTGTGGAGAGTTGTCTCATTGGAAATCATACCACATCTTCTTTTTATTTATATTATAAATACTTTTATTCCAAAAACTACTTTCCTGCTCATTCGGTTTTTGGGTTCTTTTCAGTCTGGTTTAATATTTAAGAAAATAAATATTAAAAATACAAATAACAAATGTCTCGCTGCCAGTTGCTCCATTTAGTACCACATAATATTTTCATTTTGTAGCTTGTATATAAATGATTCAAATTAAGTCAAGTTGTTTGGTAACTTTCATCTCTTTATTGTTCATATGTGTATAGATATTCTAGATAATAACAGTTTTACTGTTTTTATTCAAAGTGATATGCATTTCATAAAAGCTGTGTTATAATGTTATAGTATAATATATATATATATATATAATAAATTTGTTCTATGCAGCTATATTGTCTTCTTTAATATCCCTTCATCAAGCATCCAGTAGTCTTAGCTTTGATAATACCCAAACAATATCGGCTACAAATTTTGTGTTTCTCATCAATATGCTATTTCCTGTGTATTTTGGTATTGGTATTGGCACCATTAACACTTTGTTTAAGATTGTGATTAGGTCTGTTTTAATAGATGTTCTTATGGTTGTAATTTGTCTCATCTCTGAGTCACATTCTATTGAAATAGATTATTATATCCTGCCGTATTGGATGCATGAAATATTGCCCATGTACATAGGTCTGTCCGAAAGTTAAACTTTAGTTTACCTAAACCAAATGTTATACAACTTATACATAATGGTAATTACCACAAAACACAGATTGAGTTTGAATTTTAGTGGTGTCACTAAAACCGTTCTAGAGTAATGCCCCTTTCAAATAGAAAAGTGCAAAAAAAAATTATTATCTCTCTTAATTCAGTTTGCCTCAATCAAATACTATGAAACTTGTACACAATGCTTATTACCACACAATAGAGATCAAGTTTGAATTTTGGTGGTGTCACTTTAACCGTTCTAGTGTAAAACCCTTTACAAAAGGAAAAATTGCTGAATTGTTCGTGTCTGTTCCCTAACTTAAGTTTGCCTCAATCAAACGTATTGAAGCTTATATACAATGCTTATTACCACAAAAAACAGATCAAGTTTGATTTTTGGTGGTGTCACTTTTACTGTTCTAGAGTTATGCCCCTTTATGGAAGGAAAAAATGCTGAATTTAGTTTCCATTCTCTACCAAATGTTATGAAACTTATAGTATAAGTCTTATACATGTTATACACACTACTTATTACTGCAAAACTCTGATCAATTACAAATTTAGGTAGCCTATCTTTTATTGTTAATCAGTTAAGTCCCTTTATAATTCTATATAATATATAAGCAGGGGCATCATTTGAGTCCCATAGACACATTCCCCATTTATTTTTTTTTATTGTTTTTGGAAAAGTTCGTGGTGAGGTCAGTTGAATGGTAACCACAATGGTCATTGATATTAGGCATGCAGAAGTATTACCACACAACATTTCCCTTGAAGTTATTTTACAAAGTTCACACATTCATGCTCAATAGATCTCGATTCTGCAAAGGTCAATTGAATACAGTTGTATTGGCAATTGGCTTATGTCCTTTCTGCTGTTTTTCTATCCTGACGTAATGGTGGATTTTTTTTGAAATTTTTACATAGAATTGAGAATGTGTCAGAGATAAAAAAAAAAAAAAAAAAACGAGTACAAAATGACTAAAGCCACCGAAGGGTTGTTTTAACACAGGAAAAAAATCCAGTATCATTGGCGATTTTGACCTACCCCCTTTACAATGATGTATACTAGAAAATAGTGTTAGTTTATGCATATGTCAAATGAACTCAAAAACAGTAGTCATCACAGTTTTTTTTTGTATATGTCTATTTCAAAAGAATATAGAATAACAACAGTCAGCACATGATCTTATATTATGCTGCTTCACAAAATGCTTTCAAAATATAAAAAAACAACATTTTTTTGATAGGTATTGCAGTATTTAATGTACATTGAAAGTGTTGGAAATATATTTACGGTTTATAAAGCACGAGGACCTTATATTTTTGATAATAACTTTGTATCATCTTTCATGAAAATTTACTACTGATTTAAACATGTAATTTATTGTCTGTATTCAAAATTCTAATTGATTTACACAAAGTTTTCAATACTCGAACATGTTTTAAACAAAAAAACTGCCGAATTGAAAACACTTGCTCAGCTTACATAGTAGGGTTTAATAAAAGTTCTCCCAACTTTCTGTCAGGGGTGTACAGTTTAGAATATAGAGAAATTCATCACCTATCTCTCGAGCGTTACTACAAAATCTTTAATTTCCTATCCAACATTTTTCAAGTCATCTGCCGGTTTCTACAGCTAACCGATGATTTCCAGTTCTAAACCACAAAACGTTATTCCATCGTAATTAATAAGGTAATAAGTTCAAATATTCTTTAAATTCCAAGTTTTCTTTAAAAGTTTATAACATAATTCTTTTTTATATTTTCATCTGCATAGTTTACGACTTGCAATTACATAATGGAGTTCGTCTTCAATTCGAATCAATTGCTTTACCACAAACAATCTATTCTCTATATTAAGTTCTTTCCTTCTTCCTATTTCTATTTGAATAATTTCTACGTGCTCAGAAAATTTAGATTTTTTTTCTGAATATTTTGTAATAACCACTTTTAATGAAAAGTGTCAATTTTACATCAAGTGTTTATATCGAAAGTTATAATCACCGATATTCACAGGTGGTATTTTTATTTTTTTCTCATCTATTGGGTTGTGATGTACATGTTTAAGATATATATTTCTAAAACTCGGATTTATGCAAAGTTATTTACCTGTGGTGATAAAGAAATTATATGTACGAGGGTCTGGACGGGTGTCATTCGTTCATTTCTTAATTCTATTTTTTCTTTAAATTTACACCTTTTTAACAATTCTTTTCTGTTTTAGGACACTAATACTTTACATATTGTTATTTTGCCTATTTTTTTCTATTTTTTATAGTTTTTACTCGATATTCTCTATTCTGTAAACCCCTTCATTACCCCCATATATATACCAGCCTTGTAAAAAACCTATGATTGAGATAATGTTGTATATTCTATTGCTAAATTTGTCGTTTCGAAATATGCAAAACAGAAAAAATAATATATCACAAGATGGATAGTAAACTAAACAAAATATTGTTATAATAATCGAATTAAAACCAAATTTGTATATACAAAATGATATTAAACTAATTCCTTTGAAGCGTTCAATGTAGGTGCGGTAACGAAAATTGACAATGTTCTAATATATTGAATTCTATAGTTGATTATTACTTTCATTTTAC